CCTACACAAGAGTCAGCCTTGTGCACTCTCCCTCGTGCCTGTCAGGATCAGCTGAGCAATTTAAAACAAGAGGGAAAACGACTTCTGGAAAACCATCCCTCAGCTCGGGTGGACAAGTGGGTCTCTGCACGGCTGCAAGTGGGCTCCAGCTGTTTGGGCACAGCTGGGCAGTCCCTGAGGTCTGCCTGGTGTCAGGGAGGGAGTGGAATGGGAAAGCAGTGCCCCACCAGCAGCCCTGACTGCAGAGGGAACGCTGTCTGCAGTGCTCCTGGCACGGAGAGCCCGCTGCTGCTGCTCACTCTTCAGTTTTAGAATTGGGAGATTGTGCCAGGTGCCTGAACGTCCTGCTCCCCCCTGGGTACAGGACAATCCATCTTCCCTGAGCCACCTCACAAAAATCAGTCAAACATGGTGCTCCCACCCCCACAGAGGACAAAGCCCTGCAGCTGGAGCCCAGCCCAGCTGAAATTTCCCATTGCACCAGGGCTGGATCTCTCTGATTCTCAGCTGTCACCAGGAATGATTTTCCACTGCTGAGAAACTGCTGAGAATTGCAGGGTTTGGGTGGCACTGTGACCCCTGAATTGCAGGGTTTGGGTGGCACTGTGACCCCTGAATTGCAGGGTTTGGGTGGCACCCATCCCAGCCAGGCTGGCAGCAGTGCCCATCCTGCCCAGGGACAGCAGAACCCACGCAGGGGATGCTCAGCCCTCATTTGGGGGAGCCCTGGGAAACTCCTGGGGACAACGCTGGAAAAGTGTTGAAACCCCGAGGAGAAGCAGAGATCTGATGGAAGGGGTGCCACAGAGAGTGCCAAATCCAGGAAAAAGAGCCAGAGAGCCCTTCAGGATCTCCAGTGTTGTGCCATCTAGTGAGCGAGAGGAAGAGCAGCAAACACCCAGCTCCTGCCAGCCTGGAAATCGGCTCCAGAGCAGCCCAGGATGGGCTGCCAGGGCAACGTGTCCCTGAAATCCAGCCCCATCCCAGCCAGGAGAGGGGCAACAAACACCAACAAGGCAGGGCCAACACCTCCAGAGAACTCGGCTTGCTCAGGCCACGGAGAGTTTGGCGTTTGGAGAAGAAACCACTGCACCAGGAGCACACAACAGCATTTGGCTTCAGAGGGCTCTCAAGGACTCCTGCAGAGACAAAGGCAGCACAGATGCAGCCGTGGGAGGGAAACACTCAGGCACAAGCCCCAAGACTCTCCCTGCCCTGCTTTTCTTCCCCCAGAGAGTTCCATCATCAGCAACTGCAAAAGCCCTTGGGCAGCCCAGAGGAGTTTGGTGCCCAGATGTGACAGGACCTGAACCACAGGGAATGCTGCAGCTGCTGCAGCTCCAGGAACTTCCCAGGGCTGTCAGCTCTGTTCTTAAAAATTAAGAAATATTTTTATTTTCGCTCTGTTTCCAGCATAGCACCCGGATGAAATGGTAGTTAACAGTTATTTCTGGAATATACAGTACTTATAAATACATGTTAAATCCTCATGGTTGAATCTCCCCTCAGGCAGTGCCAAGGACATGCAGATGAAGTTAAATATTCCCAGGAGATCTCCTGCTTCCCTGGGATACACCGAGGGTGTCCCAGGAGACAGTGCAGTCCTGCTATACATAAACAAAATGATTAATTACATGTCCTCAGCTACTCCATTCCTTACTACCTTGTGGAGCAAGGAGACAGGAACCCTCAGGCTTTGCTCATCCTCTCTCTCTGCTCATTTAAAACCTCACCAGCAACACCTTCCACTCCCAATTGCATCTCCTTTCCAGCGTCTCACCTGAGCTCACGTTCTGCACGGTGGACACTGCCAGCAAGGTCGGTTCCTGCACGAAATCCAAGGTTAAACTGGCAGCTCCTGGCACAACCTTCCAAAACAGAGGGTAAACCCACAGCAGCTGCATGGGCTCGTGTCAAAGCTGCCCTAATTTAACGTGCTGTGTCCTTGGCAGAAATCAATGAAAGCAGCAGGGGAAAAGTTCTAACAAAGGGCGTTTGGGTTCTGTGCTGGGAGCCTTTCTGAGCAGCCCAGGGGAGGAGGCACAGATTTCCCCCTGCACCCACAGGGCAAAACAGGATTTTTTTTCTCCTCCTGAGCAGAGAAGAGCATGAGAAGAGACAGGGAGGCATCCCTAGGTGCTCCTTGTGCCACCAAAACAAGGGAACTGAAGCCTTTGTCGGAGATTCCCGTTCAAGCCGGGCCAGCTGATTAAAAAAGGAAGAACGATCTGTGCAGAAATGCTCAGCTCTCAGGGTGCAATACTCACTCCTCACCAAGCAGGGTCAGCCCAGCACCATCTGAACACTGGAGTCATCCCGGGAACGGCTGCTTCGCTTCAGCTCCAGCGGAATTTCAGCTCGGTGGCAAAGATGTCCCTGCCCCTGAGCAGAGGGAGAGGCTCCAGCTCGGTTTTAAAGAACTGGAGGTTCAGCCTTGCAAAGTTCAAATGCCAGAAGTTTTTCTAAGTCAGTAAAACCCAGAGCAGAAGCAAAGCTGAACTGAGGTCACAGCTGGCAACCAGACACAAAATCAGACCATGCCCAGGTTTCTCAGTCTGTTAACTTTATTGGAGAGGTCTTTACATCATGGTGGTGGCCCCACTGAAGATATTTTACAAAATATTTTAAAAACCCTTTATATTCAAAGCCATTTTTAAAATTGTGTCACATCCACCCCTGAAAAGCAAGCTGGGTTTAATTGTGGTTCCTTCTGAACAGGGAACAACAAAAAAAATCCTCTTTTGAAAGGAGGGAAGATGATACCCACGCTGTAAACATGACAATCAGATGATGTGCCCCCCTCCCAGGCAAGGGACACGGTGCTGGAGCCTGGCACACCCAGGGAGAGAACACAAAACATGAAAACGAGTGGACAGAACCATTCCTACCTCTGTGCTGCTCTCTCCAAGCTGAAACTCAGCTGGACTGGGGGAAGGGATAACTGATTTACCACAGGGGCATTGCATCAGCTGTGAGAACCCCCAGAAATAATCTTTGCTGGTGGCTGCAGGATGTCCAGAGAGGGATGATGCTCCCTGGGCTGGTGGAGAAGGCAGCAATGCCCTTCAGCTGAAGGAGGTGACAGCGTGCTGCAGGACAGGCACTGGGCTCTGTGACACAGCCCTCGCACACAACAGCTCCAGCCTGACCCCAGCAGCACCAGAACCAGCACCAGAACCAGCACCAGAACCACTGGGGCTGCTGTAACACACTCCTAACGTGATTGAAAGTCTCCAAGCAGCCCCCTTGTCCCATTTAAGAACATCCCTCTGCATCCATTAACCTTACAGCAGTTCCCAGCCTGGTGTTATCACCTCTGAAAGGCACAATCCACACTTCTGGAGATGGGGCAGGAACCCTTCCTATGTTTATTAACAGAGACAGCACTGCTGTGAAACCAGAGGTAACCTGGAATGGCCCAAAGAGTCTTGCTAGCTTGCAGGAAGCTTATAAATATGGATTAGGAGCTCTAAAAGAGTAGGAAATGCACTCTCCAGACACAGAATTCAAGATCTGGGGGCTGCCTGCTTCAGCCCAGTACCTGGAAGCGAGGCACATCACATACCACCTTTCCCTGAAATGCCAGTAAATCAACAGAGGGGGCTTGAAAATAACAACTTGTTTCTTATATATATATATATATATATATATATATATATATATATATTTTTTTTTTTTTAAAGCAAAAAAATTTTTTTTTTTTAAAAAAAAAG